GTTAGGTTACACTTTCGATTAACCTTGTCCTGACTCCTCCATAGTCAAAATTCACAGGGTGGGTTATTCGGCTTGATAGGTTAGTTAGGTTGGCTTCGAGTGGGGCTCTAGTCCTTGTGGCTAGAGTTGATACGACCAACACTTGGGCGGAGCACCATTCACAGCCATTTAGTTAGAATGGGGGAGGGTATCCGAATGCCTGGTCCGGCTTAATTTAGTCAGATGTTAGGTATAGATAGAATTCCCATGACGTCACACATCCGGGCATCTTGCGACCTCCGCCATATTGTGGGTCAAGCGATAATAATCAGTCATTCGAGCGAAGCACATTTAAACAAACAGACGATGGTTCACTCCTGCGTAGTGTACGGCTGTACGAATCGGGCGAACGACAGGGGAACAAAGCGTGGTTTTTATGGATTCCCTACTGTAAGACTCCACGAGGACAAATGGACAGAAGAACTCAGCAGAGAGAGAAGAACAAAATGGATCGCGGCCATAGGCAGAAAGGACTTCGTGCCATCAACCCATTCTAAAGTGTGCTCGGATCATTTTTTAGAAGGTAGATAAACTGACATCAATTGATTTCATTTACTACTTAGCTACATAAAATATTTAAAGTCGCACGAGTTTTGGAAACATGCACTAATAATGCGAATCACATTTATAATGAGACACCGTACAGTACAGTACAGCATGCGATAGTTTTGTAACATGGCATTTGGTGCAAATACCTGTAAATCTGAACTTATTGTTTTATCCAATATTTATATGACGTGTTTTACTTCACTCGAAGTGATTTATTCCTAGTGGTGCTTTCGAACAACATACGAGTCCTGTACCGGAAATAATCTTATATCTTTATTTAGGCTCTAGGCCTAGTACCGACTAGTAGTTACGTACGATCTTGTATAACTACAACGTATGTAGTAGATGCATTCTTTTAAAGATATCAATAATACCAGGGACTTATATCTATATTTATAAGTCCGTGATAATATACTTTGATCATAACATGTCCTTATATTATCTCTTTTATCATATATAAAAACCAGGTCAACTTCAAGTACATGTAACATACATACACTATCAGGCCTGTCTCACTATAAATAAATAGTGTGATGAAAAAATAAGTATTTAGTTCTGTAACCAGTTCATTATTTTTAATCCCATTCCTTTTTTTAAGATTTTTCTTTTTTTTTTTGCAGGTAAACCATCAAAGATTTTTGATAAAGCAAATCCTGACTGGGTCCCCTCATTGAAGTTGAATAGGAAGTTGACATCTCCAACAACTCCAAGCAGCCAGAGTGAGCGTTTCCAACGGGCAAACCAACGTGATGACAAGCGGAAACAGCATTTAGCTGCCAGAGCTTTAATGGATTTATCCACATGTAGTGTCCAAGACAGTCAGCCACAGGTGTGTGATTGGCTTCAGAAAGATGACAAACCTGTTCACTTCTTCAAATTAGGACCTCTCTTCCCTGCAGAATCAGCGAAAGACCTAATGGAGGTTAGAAGTCAGGAAAAGGAAGAATTGTTGAAGAAGTTAAATGCAGAGTGTCAGGAGCGGACAACAGAAAACCTTACATTAAGGCAACATATCCTGGAAGGGCAGATATTCAGTGAGGATGCATTCAGAGACAATGACAAGAAGGTAAACTGCTTCACAGGGCTTCCAGGATTTTTAACTTTGATGACTGTGTTCGACTTTGTGAAAGATTACATTCCAGATAGCGGCCGTGTGACATTCTCAAAGTTTCAGAGATTTATTATGACTCTGATGAAACTGCGACTTACACTCTCCCTTCAGTTTCTTGGATATATCTTCAATATCTCACAGCCCACCGCATCAAGGACATTCCTAACTGTATTGGACGTTTTATACATTAGACTGCGAGAGTTTGTTTACTGGCCAGAGAGAGAGGAACTGAGACTTTCAATGCCCATGGAATTCAGGAAGCATTTTGGCTTGAAAGTCGCTGTTATCATTGATTGTTTTGAAATCTTTATTGAGCGGCCTTCAAATCTTCTTGCAAGAGCAAAGACATGGTCTTCGTATAAACACCATAATACTGTAAAAATATTAATTGGAATAGCCCCTCAAGGATGTATAACCTATCTGTCAAATGCTTGGGGAGGACGCAGTAGTGACAAGTATATTGTGGAAAACAGTGGCTTTTTAAAGAAACTTCTTCCAGGAGATATCGTACTTGCTGACCGTGGTTTCGACATTCAGGAAAGTGTTGGTGTAATGTGTGCGGAGGTTAAAATACCGAGTTTTACTAAAGGAAAGAGCCAGTTGTTAGCACTTGAGGTAGAATCCACAAGAAACATTGCACATGTCCGCATTCATGTGGAACGCGTGATTGGACTGGTTAGGAACAAGTTTACAATTCTTTCAGATACTTTACCTGTAGACTATTTGATTGCGCGCACAGGAGATGTTCCAGCTGTAGACAAAATTGTTACTGTTTGCTGTAGTTTGACCAACTTGTGTGGTTCTATTGTGAATTTTGATTGACAATGAAAACACTTCATACATTTTACACTTAAAGTAGTGTATTTGTCAAAAGAATGTGAAATCTTGAAATTAGTGAATATGGCATTTTTTTCTGAATGATTTAGCATTGTCTGGATCATAATTAATCCATATTAAGAATATTATATATTATTAATATTTTATAACTCTATATTTAAATATTTGTTTGCAACCATATTGTGTTCAAATGATGATGCTGATTATAAGTACAGTCAAACTGTGTATAAAGGACACTGAGGGGAAATGACAAGTATCCCTTATAGACAGGTGTCCTTTATATACCCATACAAAACTTGGAGACAGAGGTTTTTCTCAGAAATAAGTCCTGTCTGTCCCTAATTAAGTATTAAAGTATAAGAGAAATCTTACTACAACCTGATATATTTTATATGACATTTTATTTTAATCTCATCTTTGTTTAGTTATTAAGATAACCACTTTGGTTATCATGTAGAAAAATACACAATCAAAACAAAAAGTTGAATATCAGCCTTTCTTGAACATGAGTGTGTATGATTTGTGTCTGTAGACACTTAAAGCAACAGCATCCCTTCCAAATCATTGACACTAGATAATTCTCTTGTGTATATGTAAACAATGACACTTAAACCATTCATTTTTATCATATCTATGAGTTTACTTGTTTCTTTGAAAACTATAAAATGTGCTTATAAATGATATAACTAACACTTGTAGTGATATATATATATTTAGATACAGTTACATGTACACAGAATATTCAAATGTTGTTGTCCTCTAAATAGAGGTTATTTTACATAGAAAATAGTGTTTGGGGGAATTTCTAAGTCTCCTTTATAGAGAGTGTCCTCTATATAGAGGTATATTATATAGTAAAACTTGTTGGGGTTCCTGAGACTGTCCTTTATAGACAGGTGTCCTCTAAAGCAGGTTTGACTGTATTAATCGTAGCACGAAATGTACATAGATGGTACTTGTAGTTTCTGTTTCTGCAGACCTGTCCTTTGTACTCAATATTACTGCCATGTAATGTATATGATCCCAGTGTTAATCATGAGGAAATATTAATATATTTTCAATAAATTAATTTTCAAGTATTTATTATGGCTTTGAATTGTTTTTATTAAAACAAGCTTACAGTAAGTGTTGCATGCAACACATGTCCCCTGCCATAAATTACAGTATTTATCTGCACAACTTCAATACGACAATTTCTGTTTTTAGTATCAGTGACCTTTATAGTTGACCTTTCTTCCCAAAACCATATCAAATAATTCATCACCTCATAAGCTACCATTGTATGAAGTTTCATTCAAGTCCATCAATCCGTTCTCAAGTTATCATCTGGAAACCAACATATAGACAAACAGACTGACAGAGATAAACACTATTGCCCCCCCTGGTTTCACCAGTAGGGGACTATTAAAATGACTTAGGTCTTAAGTCAAACTAAATAAATTTGTCTACCAGGTATATTATGTAAACATACACCTGGAAACTCTTGATAATTGGAAACAACTGCTTGTATTTCTAAACATTGTATATCAGGTATTGTCATTTTGCCATATCACACCAATGACAATATGACAATATACTACTGGAGAAAACAATGACAGACACAGATAATTTAACTTTAAATACAAACAATTTAATTTCAAAAGGAGAGTCCATATATATGTACAATCACAATTAAATATTACGTTCCATCTAGTCTGAAAAGTTTAATACAAATTTAGCAATTAAAAAAACTTGCCAACAATTTCTATAAAATTTCATCATCATCATCATCACAATCATCATTACATGTGGCATTGCAATCATCATCATCATCATCACATATGGAATCTACTTTAACAAGTTTAATACAAATAAAGCAATTAAAAAAACTTGCCAACAATTTCTATAAAATTTCATAATCATCATCATCATCATCATCATCATCATCATCATCATCATCATCACATATAACATTGCAATCATCATCATCATCACATATGTCAATGCAATCATCATCATCATCAATCATCATCACATATGGAATCTTTAGATCTTCAATACAGTACCCGCTTTTCTTCTTTCATCAATTTTAATACTTAAAAACTTTGGCTGTGAAAAAAAACTCGGCTTTTCCTTGGTTGAGAAAAAGAAAAAGAAACATTGTTGAAAACATCATGTTTAAGTATGTCCATGAGACAATATATATATCAGGCATGTGAAATTTCCGCCAATTGGCGGATTTCCGATTTTTTAACAAAAAAATCCGATTTTTAGAAATATTTTTCCGATTTTTTTCGTCGGTAAAAAAATCCGGATTTGTGGTGTCCGTTTTCGTTTTGCAGTTTATACTTGCCTGAAGTAGATCGTAGAAACGCTTGGATCAACGTAGGTAGTCAAAGCATCAAGTACACACTGATTTAAAGTGCCCGTATGTTACATATCGACCTTGACATGATAATGTTGTTTTAAAAGGACTTAAGGCAATATGAGTCACCGGAAAGATATAATAGAACGAGGTAGTGTGAAGGACGTTGATGTCGGCGTGCGAAACGCATGGAAATGGAGTTGGCTAGAAAAAGAAGTTGAAGGCAGTTTGTTGTCAGCGTGCATCTACAAAATTGAAGAAGCTGGGAAAGCATATTGTCGGCTTTGCTCGAAGGAGATAAACTATGCCAGTAGGCGTTACAAGACCATAGAGGCCCATGTTAAATCAGAGAAACATCGAAAACACAAGGAAGCAAAAAAGAGCAGTTATTCTTTGGCCGGTAAGTTGTGTTGCAGTTTATTGTTTTCATTCGAAAAAACGAAAAAAAAAGCAAATAAAAAATTTAATCCCAAATAAAAATTAAAGACGATAATGATAAGATTTGGTATAAAACGGCTAAAAAATATAAATATTTGATATCAATAAAAACAGCTAAGCAAGATGATATAAATAACTGTACATGTATTTAATAAATATAAATAAATAAAATTAAAACGTATTCTAATAAATAATACAAAAATTAAAAGGCTCAGTGTTATTTTCCCGTATTCCCTATTAAGATTTTATTTATAGAAATATTTTATAATTCTTAAAAGTTTATAATTAAATCAATGCAAACTTGGGCCTAAATTAAAACATATTCTAATAAATAATACAAAAATAAACAGGCTCAGTGTTATTTTCCCGTATTCCCTATTAAGATTTTATTTATAGAAACATTTTATAATTCTTAAAAGTTTATAATTAAATCAATGCAAACTTGGCCCAAGTATACAGGCATCAGCTCAGTATTTGTTCTTTTATATTTTACAGGATTATTTTCATCTGGTGCCAGATCTAATGACACACATGAACCTTATGGACTACACCCATCGCTGAACGGAAAATTGTCAGGCTCAGTCACCAGTCAGTCCAGTGACATCAAAGATGCACCCAAGTTGTTAGTGCCAGTCAACGACAGACTTATAAATATGGAAGCGACTATCCTTGGTTTTCTTACTGAAAATAATCTCCCATTCAGCTTGACAACAGATTTGATTGATCTGACAAAAAAACTATCAAAAGATACCAAGGCTCTTAGTGAACTACAGATGAACAGAACAACAGCTTCATATAAAATGACCTTTGGATTAGGAAAGACATTAATGATGAACTTGACGGAAATTTTAAGAATTTCAAAGTTTTCACTAAACATCGATGAGGCCACTAGTGATAACTTTCACAGGGTGTTGGCTGTTCTAGTTTCTTATTTCTGTCCAACAAAGAAAGAAATTGTTGTTAATCATTTAGCATCCTTAAGTGTAATAAAAGTTGACAGTGCCACTCTTTATAATGAACTGGTAAATGTTATTGAAAGTAACAACATACCATGGACAAACCTTATGTCAATATTAATGGATTCATGTAATGTGATGAGGGGATCAAAGTCTGGCCTAGAAGTTCGTATTCAAAGGGAAAAGGCACCACACTTGTTGGATATAGATGGGGACTCATGTCATCATGTCCATAACGCTACAAAGGCATTTTGTAAACCATTTGGCTATGTTGTAGAGTCACTGTTTAATGATCTACATAATGATTTAAAGTGGTCTGCAGATTTGAGAGACTTTATGCAAGAAATCTGTGTCATTTTAGGTGTTAAATACACAGCTCCCCTCAGGTTTGTAAACCACAGATGGCTTTCAGTGTACACTGTAGCAGTTCACACATTACGTCTGATGGATGTTTATAGTGTTTTCTATGCTGGATTTATCACACCAGACAAAAAGCCAAAAGTGTTTCCTATTGTACAAGAGATCTATAGAAGGATAGGCGTAAGTGATGCAGCAAAGGAAAGAGTAAGAGAAATCCACTTATCTCTGTCCAAAAAATCGTTGACAAAGGATGGACGAGATAGAAAAGACAGAATCTTAGGCAAAATTTTTGATGAGAGAATGCTGATCAAACTTGTCTTGAATTTGTACAGTAGTGTTCTGCCTCTGTTGAAAAACTTCACTCTTCTGTTTGAGATGAAAGAACCTCTAGTGCATATACTACATGATAAGCAACTTGAACTTATCAGGGAGTTCTTGGATTGTTTTATTAAACCAGAAAAATTACAGAATATTACAGCCAGTCGCCTTGCAAAACTTGATCTACACAGTAAAGATATGCATCTGAAACCAGTTCACATGTTCATGGGTGTTAATGCGTTGCGCACTGTAAAGGAAAATATCAAATCTTATATAGTAAGAAGCTTCCTTGAGAACCTTGAATCTGCTTATGTTGCCAGTGGTCATGTATTAAAAACAAAACTGCCTATTGGAAACTCACTGCTACAGAGCCTTTCAGCTATAGACCCGTGTGCAAGGGGCCACTCCCTTACATTGCAGTACCTTCAGAACCTTGCGCTGAAAGTTGATAATGTATTATCTGAAGAAGAGAAGAATCAGTATGAAAGAGAATTAAGAAGGTACCAACGAGATGAAAAGTTGCCAGAATTTGAGAACATGAGAATAGACACTTGGTGGGCAGATGTTCAAATGAAAGGACAGTATCCTGTCTTAAGCAAGATGGTATTGTCCTTGTTGACCTGTTTTCCATGGTCCACAGGTGGAAGGCTCATTCAGCATGATGGGGGACATCATGGATCCTAAATCTTCAAGAATGAAGATTGAAACCTATTCAGCAATTCAAACTGTGAAGTCCACATTACAAGC